CAAACCTTGTCAGAGTATACAGTTCTGATATCCAAAATCCCTATAATAGTTTGAAAATCTATTTCCACCTCCTAATTATAAAACCTCTATAAACATTTTAAAATCTTAAAAATAAATATTCAGAATAATGTTTTTAAAAATACACTATTTTTTAAAGACTTCATATTTCTCGAGGTCGAGATAATTAATCAGCAATATCTTAGCATCAAAACAACCGCCGATTTTTAATTTCTATCTTACTTTTATAATATAGAATTGATGCCCTATATAAACTTTTCCTCATTAAAACATCATATGCCCTAATAGCAAAGCCCTGTCGAATTATATCCATGTTTTTAATAAAAAAATAAGAAAAAATTTTATTATCAAATTTATACAATGTTGATGGGCTATAAATTTTTTCCTTATTAAAATATCATATGCCAGAATATCAAAGCCCTGTTGAATTATATCCATGGTTTTTAATAAAAATTTAAGAAAAAATTTATTATCAAATTTATACATGGTGATGGGCCATCGCATGTGATTTGAGTGGCTTTTATGCTTGGGAAATGCCATGTGTCATACAACTAGACAGAGCATTTATGAGTCCTTCTTTAGAGAACCATATGTAGCTCGGTTCTTACACAAGTCACATGGCCATGCGTATGTATAACTTTTTGTACCACATTTGTTTTTCATTTTTTATGAGCCCGCATACTCATCTATTCGCCCTAGTTTTTTGGAGTGGATTTTTGGAGTCCTAGGATAATCTATATATCCTATGCCGCTTTAGATCTATTTTGGGGTTTTATACTAGAGAAATATAGAATGAGACTTTTTATCTTTGATACAAAATGGTCACATTAATCTTGACCATTAAATGTGAAATTGAGTAACTGAAATTATTTTATTAATCAAACTTAAACTTTAAAAAAAAAAATTTCGAACTTTGTGACACATCCAAATTATGATGAATTAAAAAGAAGACTCTTTATAATTAAGATTCAATCTAGGGTTGGCAACATGTAAAACCTAGGGCAGGCCAAACCAAGATTGAAAAATAAAGGCTCGGCCCCTAGCCCAACGTGTGACCTCAAGGGTCCATGGCCGTAGCCTAGCCCTAAAAGTACTTTTGCTAAGACCAGGCCTATGCCCCATTTTGGCATGTTCTCCATCCCCGTTAAAGAGCATAACAAGGTTACAAAAAATATTGATTATGTACTATGAGTTTATTTACTTTTGATATAAGGTCACAATCATTTTTAGTTCTTGGATGTAAATAGATTAAAGTGTATCTTGATATTCGAGAAATTTTATTTTGAACTTTGTGCACAATTGATATCACATATTCATCTATCTCATTTTGCATCTAATAGTCAATAATGATTAAAGCCTCCTTGTGTAAAAAATAAATAGTCTCATTGAATATATTTCCTTTGAAAAAAAACTAGTAAATGAGATAATTATCCCATTAAAATGCATAATAGAAGGCATTTTTCTGAAAACTAGTAAATAAGATCATTCTTAATTCAGCAACATATAGCCCTAATTCACATCAACTAATACATTCAAACACCGTTCATTCACCATTCGCAAAGAACAAACAAAAGACTAAACCTTTTGGGACCTGGTTCCGAACCTTAAGATTTCTTACTACAAGAAATGCATGTGAACCCATTTCTCAAATACATATATGATTGTATCCAAAAAAGAAATGCATGCCTCTTACAGCCTGGCTGGTCCTGGCCTACATAGCCAGGCCAAGCATGTCGGTTCGCGTTCGGCTTACACTGTCGAGCCACTCGCATTAAGCCCAAACCTAGCCCAACGGCTTGGATAACATTACCAAGACTAGTTCAGCCTGGTGACAAAGCCGGGAACAGGATTACGGGCCTGGGCCCGCGGCCTTCGGTCCACAAGTTAGGCTCAGGCTTTTTAGGGTTGAGTTGTGCTACCAAGTCCACTGCCACCTATAATTCAATCTTGGTGGTCGAGATTACAGACAGGCAACACACTTTTGGATCCAAATTCCACATCCAAATCAATTTTGGAAGAATGGACTCTACCCAAATACCAAAACTACCATTTGATTTCACAGCACAAAAGCATAATGCTTCTCATTGCACATGCACATGTTCCTCTTGTCGGTACATACAAATAATATTCAAGTACATTATGTGATATGTAATTTGATATTTTGCCCAAAAATACATACTTGATATGCCTCATTATACACACATAGCCTACGTATGCATGATTTGTATGGCAATTACGTGTTTCCTAAAAATACATCTTGAAAATCAACGGTCTAGAACATGCATTATAAGATGCATCATTTTAAGTCTTGAAATCTATTTTTTGTCATGTCCAAACATTTTGAGGTCGAGATAATTGATTTGAGGATTTTGGGGCATTGAAACAAGATCTTTTAATGAATTTTTGAGGCACGCCTTAATTTGATTGTTAGGACGTCACCCTTATATAAACTTTTTCCTAGGTTAATTTAGTTCACGAAAAGTATCCCATCCACATGATGTGGACAGGTGGAAAGGGTGCACAAATGCCCTCCCAATGGTTGAGATTTCACAAGGCCATATCTACGTAACCAAGAAACATAAAAAAATAAACTATAAACTATAGGACATACGTATTATTATGCATCTCTCTATTCTATATATACACCAAGACCATATTTGCCTTGATAGCACATGTTTTTTTTTTATTAATTTTTTTTTTTAGTTTCACAAAAAGGATAGTTTTTTTCTATTGGGTTGAAACCAGCAATTTATAAATTTTTTTCATCATGGTGCATACCTTAAACAGAGTTAAATGGAGCATAAAACTACCAATAAAACCCCTTCAATATATTACCTATTAACAGCACCAAAACGTGCATTGGAGCATATCCAAACAGGTCCAATTTTTTAGCATATATGCATGTCAGCCATTACATGACAAGAATGATAGTCCATTTAATTTGATTAAAAAACAACATTAGGTATGTATTATCTCCATGCATACATATTAGTAAGTTTTACCTGATTAGCCAGACCTTCTAACTTGATAAGTCAGACTACTAACTAGTGTCTTGGTCGATCTGGTCTAAAGTAAAAAACTATGTTTAATAGAAAATTGGTTGAAACTAATGTTTAGGACTAACTGGTTTTTATAGAGCAATCAGTTAAACAAAGATACGTATTTTGTTTCATTTATTTTATTTTAAATTAACATATTTCTATTTTTTCTTTATTTGTTAAAAATTTAACCAACTAATTCGATTAATAACTAAAATAATTTTGACTAAACCAAACCCCTTGCTAGTTTGCCACCAAGTCTGATCACGATGAAAATGGAACACTAAGCAAGCAACTCTATTAGGAGACCAGACTATTCAACATTTGGTGCCAAACACAATATGGGCATGCCCCACAATTTTTTAAAAAAAAATTGAATTTCCGATTCGTAGATCAAATCACCAAACCGGATCAAAAATTCAAAGGGGCGATCTGGGTCATCAATCCACTTTTTTTTAAACCTTGGTTGTAAATATAAAATGCCTAAAACCCAACTACCCAATATCACAGGAAAATATTGAAAAATGATGCAGTTTTGCTTTTAAGGATAGAAGGGCGTCAATATCGATCCCAATGTTCGAAAATCAAACCAGCCCAAGGCAGGTTCTAGGTACTTGTAAACCGGCCGGTTCGACTGGCCTAACCAGGTAAATCATGGCCGATCAAAAAAGTGTTGAAAAAAAATATAAAAAAAAAAAAATCTGAACAAATATGAAAAGTATAATTATGAATTAGTGAAAAAAATGGATTCTAAAAAATAGATTTGTGCTCATAGGTATTTTTGAAATTTTCTAAAAAAATAGGAAAATGTAAAGATTTGTGCGCATAAGTATTTTCAAATTTTCTAAAAAAGGGAAAAATGTAAAAATAAATATTCATAGCCAAAGCACTTTTCAATCTTTGCTAAAATGACAAACTAAACCCTTATATTTTTAGACTTCATATAACTTTTTTTGAATATTTTTTAAAATACCTAACTAGATCACCAAAACCAACCAGAACATGAACCAGACAATGCCCAATTCCGATTCAACCAGCCGAGTTTGCGAATCGATCCTTAAAGGTGCATCAGGCGTACAAGAAGTATAGAGAGAGAGAGAGAGAGATTGACTTAATGTGAAAGACCGGTTCAAAATATAATAGAGAGAGAGGCAGAGAGATTGACTTAATGTGAGAGAATGCTTCAAAATATGAGAGAGAGAGAGAGAGAGAGATTGACTTGATAAGAGAGAATACTTCAAAATATCAGTGAGGGTCAAATAACATTCGGCCTCTACAGCTCACCCACTAAAACTGTTGTTTCCTTTTCGAGATCCCTTTTTGTCATCTTCCTCTTCTTTGTACAAACATGAAGTTGAAACTCGCAGTAATCATTATACATTAAAAATATTCTTATTCTTTTATACAAAAAGTCTACCTGTCTCTGGAGCTACAAACTCAGGCGAATCAAAGCAGCCAAGTGACGCTCACTAAATCAGGTCTCTGATTCTTATTAAAAAAAAAAAAAAATTGAGCTTCTGAAATTAATAAAAAACTTAAAAGCTTAATTTATCTTAATAAGAGAAAGATTGTTCTCATTGGTTTCTCCAAGTGAAATATACTAACACTTTCACAAAAACTAGGATTCAGAAACAACTCAACAATGATTCAATATTGCCAATCAGACTCAGATTTGCTCGAGTTGAATCAAGATCAGGAGGTGGGCAATGTCGCTATGAGAAATCCCAGAATTGCCCGATTCTCTCCTTTTTTTAATAATATCCTATTTTTATTTTTATTTTAACTTTCATCAAATCCAACTTAAGAATCATCCAAATTGGACCAAGCAAATCAAAATCAAAACCCTAGCAATTCAAAGCTTGATTCCAAGTTGAAGAGGCAAATCGGAATTCATCGATTTTAAACCGAGAAAGAGAGAAAAAATTAACAGTAGGAAATGGACAACAGCATGACTATTTCTTTATTGCAAAGCTGACCAGCTCAACTCGTATAAATCAATGCCCAACACCTCCCCCATGACCAAATTAAATACGGAAACCAAAAATATAATACCAGCAACAAGTAATTAATCAGAAAGGAGCACCAATCCTATCTTTTCATACTAAAAATGATTACATACACGTGCCTCTTTGACAATCCAAGAATCAACTTTTGTTCTCGGATCCCTTGTGATGATGAATAGGTTGTGGTCACATGTAGTGTACAACTTAATTTACAAAATGAATTCCATGGCAGATCTTGTAATCCAGAAGCTTCATACGACAACCAACATTGCAGATCACAGGTTCAATTCATCTATATTGAAATCAGACCATATATCAGTAATCTAATATAGTAAAAAGTAAACCAATTTAGACATGCACATCACAAACATGCACACACATACAGTTGCTTCACCGTCTTTTCCAGCTGCTCCAAACCGAACTTTAAGATGCTTCTCATACAGAGGGAGATAATTTGCAGGGACATAGTCCTTGAATCTGAAAGCAAAAGCACTGTAATCTCAATAATCCTACCATACATGTTTTTTATTTTGGAAAAGTATAAAATAAGACCGTTATCTTTGGCACAAGAAGATTACAATCACCCCTAGCTGTTGGATGTGAAATCATACAGTAGGGAGTGCTACCTACAAAGCTCAAAATCCTATTTATTTTTTTTTCCAAACTTTGTGAACACTCTTAACCACCTTATTCCAATTGTGACCTTGTACCAAACATAACCAATCTTGTATGTAATCCCTTTTATTATTACTGCTAGTACTACTACTATTATTACATTAGTTAACATTCTATTGCAAAAAATTAATAACAATATAAAGTGAAATAAGGACATACCAGTATGCAAAACATGGCTCAGGCTTGGGCCTCGGCCCTTTCCTGAGCCGAGCTACTTCATGAGTCAGCCTCACTGAATGCAGTTTAAACCCACAAAAGGCACTCGAATATAGAGAAATTCATACTAATCCCAAAAAATATGAAAAAAATAAATAATTAAAATTTTCATCGAATGGTTCTTCATCAAAGATTGACTATTGGATTCGATGAAATCAGTTTTTTTCAGAATCAGGCAAAAAATCCCCAATTCTTCAATCTACAAAATGCAAGAAATCTTATGGGTTTCCCTTAAATTTAATGCGCCCAATATGTAGATCCAGTGATTTACAATACTTAGGCTACGTAGAATACTCGCCCGAATGCCTTACCAGCCCTACGCTGTATACCTGAACTCAGCTTGGAACCATGCCAAGGCTGAGTAATTCAGCCAAGTCAGAGCCCACACGGCCGATTTTTACAACATTGGGCATACAAATTTACAATTAAATTGCCTGAACAAGCAAGAAACAAACTCGAAATTTGCTTGTAAATTAAAGAAAAGCTCCTTTTCTCCTAATTATGTGGTATTACCTTTTCGCATTACTCAAACAGTTACTTCAATCATTATTCAATTTTGTACCGGCAAAACGTAAAGTGCGGTAGGTTGGTCATTATTTTTATTCTCTTGATCAATTTCATTGTAATATACCAAAATAACTCCAAGGTAAACTTCTATCTAATACCAAGTTAAGGGATAGAATTCAAAATGAATCCATTCGGAAAAATTTAGGTGTGACACCAATAGGCGATAAGATGAGAGACAATAGACTTAGGTGGGCTGGCCATGCGTGGTGCGGACCTAGTATAACACCTGTTAGGAGGTGCACGTTAGTTCAAGTAGAAGGTTCGAAAAAGGCAAAGGGTAGACCCAAAAGGACGTGATTGGCAGTAGTCCGAATAGATATGGGGACTTATGGCCTCACTGAGGGTATGGCCCTTAATAGAGCAGAATGGCGGACCAGGATTCGTGTAGCCGACAATAATTAATTGAAAAAAGGCTATGATGATTACGATGATATTAAGACAGAGTTAAGGGTAGGATACATGTAGTGTTTCAAAAAGCGCTAGGCGACACCCAGGCGGCCGTGGGGATCCAGGCCGCCCAACGCTAGGCAGCCTGTCCAGGCGGGCGCGGCGCCCAAAACCTGGACTGCCCAGTTGAAAAAAAAAGATAGAATTTTCATACAAATGTGGAGAATTTTCATATTCTAACCACAAATATTAAAATTTTGATATTTTATCCACAATTCATATTTAATATTTCCATGAATGAGGAATTGAGGATAAGTCCAGAAGAGAATTTTGATAATCCATAAGACCATAATCCGCACTTTCATACAATGCTAAAAAAGTAAAATCATACAAGCATACACTAATAGTCTGATACATACAAAAGTTAGATAATAGAAACTAGAAGAACCTAGAGAAAATATTTCCATAGAACAAGGCTCATTTTCATCCTTTTCTGGTTCTTCTAAATTCAAAAATTGTCTAATCTCATCCCGAATAGCTTCAGGAACCTTTTTACAAGAAACAACATTCTCTTTAATAACAGCAAGGTGTTTCTTGAATCAGTTAATACCCTCATTAGTATATTTTTCACAAAAATTACACCTTATACAATTTTTATCGTTTGGCTTCAAGTTATGACCATACTTCCAACACGAATCACTTCTTCTAACAGAACCAGAAATAGATCTATTCAAATGACAAGGATTTTGTCCTCGTTTTTGTTTTACATAACTCATATATTGTTTAATCTTCTCTTTGATAGCTTCAGAAACATTTTTACAAGGGACAATATCCTCCTTAATACCGACAAGATGTTTCTTAAACCGATTTATGCCCCTTTTGTATCTTTTCCACAATAATTGTATCTAATACAATTTTTGTCATTTGGATTCGGGTTATATCCATATTTCCAATCGGGATCTCCACTTCGACTAGATCCTGAAGAATACATCTTAAAATAAAACAAGCAATCTAAAAAATAAAGTTTTCCACTTACTTTGATTGCTCGAACTCCAAACTTCCACCTCTCAGATATTTTCTTATGCTAAAATATTCAAAAACACCCGCTAATAGTATTAAAAACTCCAAAACTAAAATCTAACCTACCTGGGTGATATTTGGATCCATTTTTCGTAACTTTGAGAAACACTTTGATCTAATGAAAATCACAAAATCTAGTTTTTTGAGGTTTTTCTCTTTCTAAAATGGGTTCTTGTGGGATTACGTTTCAAATGAACCTAAAACTCACCCCTAAAAGCTTTTATTTTTCAAAAAAACTCAATAGAATAAAATAAAAGAAAAATTCATTTTCGCCCCTGGGCGTGGCACAGGCCCTGGGCAGCCACCTAGGCCTGGGCGATGCACCCATGCCTTCTGAACCGCCTAGGCACTAGGCGGTCCGTTTTTTGAAACCCTGGATACATGACATTCAAGTACAATAAGACACTAATAAGAGAGGATCTAAGTTTGGGTATCTATTAAGAGGGATCCCCACAAAGTGGGAGCTCAAGGTAAGCCATCTCTCAATCTAATTAACACCCTATCTCTTTCTAGGGTAAGTACCTTTATTGGCAATCTTTTTTTTTTTAAGCTATTGGCAATCTAATCAGAAATATATAGTGAGATATCTCATTGAAGTAAAATCTCCCTTAAATTAATGCTTCGTCCAAACATGATTAAATATTATGAATACATAAGAGTATTTTGATAATTATGAACTTCACCAAAAGCCTCATCCCCGTATTCTAGGGATTTTAGTTTTTGGAAAAATAATAGGCTTTTTTTTTGGAGATCAATTCACAGATTGTAATCACAGTAACAGAAATGTGCATTACATGCGCCTCTTGCTAGTTATTTATCTAAGGACCTGTAAAGTTATTCCCCAAAACCACATAATCAATGATGTATCACTTTCACATATGCACCAATCCCATAGTATGACAAATGCATATTGAATAACTTTTTCTTATTAAAATGAACACTGCATTTAACTGAAGATTTTTCTAAGATTGAATGCAAAGACTTTGCAACCAGAGAAACAATATGATTGATCACCTCTTAAGAAGAAAAAGCCTTTCTGGTGAAGAGAACATTTCTGCAACTGATTCCAACAGAGAACTCATATTCATTGTCTTGGCCTTGAGTGCTCTCATGAATTCCACAAATTTTTTGTATTCCGCACCACTCAATTTAAGTTGAGCCTATAAAAAACCAAGATAATCAAAAAGTAAGCCCCAAATTCACTCTTCATGGACTCATCCTAAAAACACACTTCCGAAAAGGATTACCCAGCTAATTGTATAAATAGAAATATCTAAACAGCCTCAGGGGAGAGAAAATACATTAGAAGAAAGTATACCATGTTCCAATCAACAATGATATTCAGTAATCTAAAGCAGCATTCACCGTTAGTTCACTATCATGGACTGTTGTAGATTAACTGAGTGGGCCCAAAGGTACATTCACTTGGACAGCTAATCTACAACCATCATTAGTGGGAACAAAAGGCAGATGAAGCTTCAATTACCAAGTACCATAGCCCGTTGGACTCCCATTAACTATACAGCCCAAGGTGGTTAAAACGACATCATCCTTAAAGGTATAAAAAAACTAAAATCAGATACAACATCCAAAGGGTGCTCAATATCAAAAGTATAGCCATTTTGTTATCCTCTTTCCATACAAATATCCAAATCACTTTAAATCAAATCTCTCCCTTTGAAAGGCGATTCCTCAGCTTATGTATCAGAGTGAGAAATAAATATCTCACTTATTTCTCACTATATTCATCGAGTCTGTAACTTTCCCTTAACCGTCACTCTTTCTTTTTTATGGAAATTAAGTTTGTTATTTTCCTTTTTTTCATACCCTAAGCCCCTCACCTCTAGTAAAAAGAACAAAAGATGCATTCCCCCAAAATAAAAGAAGAATATGAGACATAGAAACCATGGTTTCAGAATCTGACACATGTTTTAGTCAAAATTCATTTTCAGCCCCCATGCCAAAAACATTATGCAGTATAGCAAGCAAAACCAATTATCAAACTCAACCCTCTTTATCATAAAAATGAATTTTAGAGAGTGCTCGTACAAAACTCAGTTAATTGACGACTGAAATTCAGCAACATTTAGAAGAAGAGCAATGATTTCATGCAACCGTTGTATCGTAATATGATGCAACAACCTTAAAAAACCATCTTATGGCTATTTGTTTGATTCAAAATTTGAAATATACACTCTTTTCAGTCTCATGAACAATCGCAAAAAAAAAAACTGAAAACACAACCTAGAAAGTATTTTTTTAGCCCAATAACATAGACCGTTCATTTTGGTGAGATGCTTAGATCTAGGTCTTAGAAGGATTTTTTCATTTCCAATTTTTTTGGATGACTTTATTGTCATTAGATGAATAATGTTAAAAAAGAAAAAAATGATTTTGAGTTTATAAGGCTAAGATCTTGAAATTCACAAAATGAATGGTCTAGATTCGTTTTTGAAAGGGACTCATTTTGACCATATCTAGCGTTCAAATTGAACTTTTTTTTTTGGGGGGGGGGGAGATTGATTATTGAGATGAAGAGAGTGTGTGTGCAAAATTTGGGGTCATACAAATACTACAAACATGGTTTTCTAGAAGTGTCGTTTCATTATACTATGATACAACCATTGCATTGGATCATTGCTCTTAGAAGAATCTTGAACTAAAAATCCCTGAATTTACAAATTTCATCAGAAAATTTTCCTAGATTAAGACTATTTCATCGGACTTTTACTCCAATTCTCTGAAAATTGATCTGCTTCAGGCCTGCTTACCTTCACTAACTGAAAATGTATCCTTTCATGTGTAACAAATATCAACACAAGAATTTCGAACAATGGGAACAAACACTCTATGAAGGAAAGCGAATAAGGGCCAAAGATCAGCTTGTAGATAAGCATAGTGATAACGTTTCACAAGTACTAGTCCACACAGAGCACATCTCAATTATCTATCAAAATTTTCCATATTCAACAACAAAATAATCAGTATGAACAAGTTAGGAATATCTATCTACTGTTTCTTAGAAAACCTATGATGCGCTCATTAACATTATACACAGCATTGAGTTTTCTTCAATATGCATGACACAGAAACTTGCAAAAGAATTCATACTATTTCAACTTATTAAAGAATTGAACTTACCTGTTTCAAGAAATCAGATGCTTTTGTCGTTTTCTCATCACCATTAGGTATAAATTTTTGCATGCTATTCTTATCGTCTTGATCTTGAGCCCCCACCTTCACCTTTCCCATAGCTGCCCCCACTTTCACCTTTCCCATAGATATATCAACAGCCATCGATTTGTTGCTGATAGATGGACACTGTTTTTCTGCATTATTTACAGACAAGCTACAGGGCAAATGCTTAAATTGTGAAGATAGCTTTCTACAAGAGCCAAGTTTATCTGAATTTTGTGTTGCTTTTACGTGCATATCAACATCTATAACAACCTTAGAAGGACCAGGCCCAATTAACTCCTCTTTTGGGAAGTGTTTTGAAGGAGAGTCACTGGTCAAGTCCACCACCACAGAGTCATAATCAACGTCTTTTCTATCACCTTTAGCAATGTGTACTTTTCCATAATTCAGGGAAGGGGAACTTGATTCTCTAAAGGTGAAGAAGCGGTCAAGTTTTCTTGTACTAAGAGCAGAAAGATTGGCTGGAGTGATTCCTGCAAACTGATTATTACTCTTGCTTTTGGTATCAGCAAGCATAGAAAACAATGATCTCTTTCGGCTTTCAGATGATGGAAGAGTGTTCTGGCAAGAAATCTCAATAAATTGGAAAAGAATCAGAATAATTACAAGCAAATGATTCCTTAAAGATTTTATGCAACACATGAAGTGAAAATGATGATTTACCAAAGGTGAGATTGTTCTAGATGAAAAACATAATGTAGCATCGGCTTGGCAATCCATTATCTCACTAGATTTTGCTGCAAGAAAGGAAAGTCGACATTAGTCATATAATTCAATTCCACCAATTCAATGTTAGATTTTGAACATCCAAGAGTGAACTGAAGAAGTTTCTGATATTTGCAGGATAGACTATGGGCAAACAAAAAACAAGTATGTCGTAAAGTTACACAGTATTTTCAGCTGAAATTTGGTATGCATAAACTCAAACTATAGACTTTCTATTGAGCCAAAAAAACACTGAAAAATCTAATGCTTCTACGTCCTTGAACTGATCGTTCAAGGACCTTTTTGTTTTTTTTTGGGTAATATGCAGTTCCCTGTAGCAGTGAAAATAACTATGACAATCCTAGGTCACTCCAAGTGACTCAAATCCACACAGAGTGGGGTTCAAGGCATAGCCTATGAAGACTTGAGGTAAGTACTCCCTCTTTACACGGTCACAACAGAGTATGGTGAACTGAAGTTTCAAGGGACAAACCCTAAGATACAACCCTCCTTATCTGAGGCCAAAAGTGTAAGAGTGGGTTCACCAAACCACTACTTAAACTTCTGGGAGGTCCCTATCCATCCCCGAGTCTGTAAGACCCATATCCCCTTATGTTCCATGCAAAAGAGTAGAAGACATTGGCTTTCCATATCTCATCCAAGAGATATGTTTCCTTCCATGTCTCAATCCAGAGACACATGTATGGAAATGTGTCACCCTAACTCTCCGCCAAAATAATGTTTCCTCCCATGTCTCAACAAAGAGACATATATCTCTCGTGCTCATCCAAGAGATATGTCATTCGTCTTTCACATCCATTCATTGACTCACCCATCTCCAAGAGGTCATCGATCCTTAGGTGAATGGATCTATCTTTCACAAAGGCTCACACGTTTCTTGTCTTCAGCCAAGGCCTCTCAAGTGCTTACTCAAGGCACTCTTATGCTGTGCCCAGCAGCTAAAGTCCAAAACCATACTACCTTAGCTATAGCTGACTGCCTTTCCATGTTTGTAGAATGAGGATCCATAGGTCCTTCCCCAGCCTACGCAAGTCATTAAGGGCATCCATGAACACCTCCTTTGGTTGGCTGGATATTGATTTCATGGAGCTACAGGGCTTATGCCCTGATCAGGTATGTCTACTCATGGCAATTCCATAGGGATACCAACACTGAATGAGAAAAAATTAAAATATTAAATGGAAAATATATACCCTGGTCATCTCATACATGATTTATGAGAAATTAGATGAATGAAATAAAGAGCTCGCACATACCATGCACCAGCTTAGAGCCTAAGACAACTCACTAACAAATGGCATACCCTTCACCACAGTTTTGAATGCCTCCACATCATTGCTCGGTGTATAACCCATTTAAATATTCTTTTACAGAAAATATTGTAAACCAAACAAGCAACTATAAGAGAGAAAGGTAACATGAATTTCTTTAGCAAGAAGACAACATCGCATACTGCTGCAAGAGAACAAAAACAAATTGTTTCATTCAAATTCCAGAACCCCATAAAGAAATCAATATACATTCAAAGCAAATTCAAATGCATACTAATGAGGATATCAGTAAACAAACCATGTTGAACACAATGAAGAGTCGAGCAAATGCTTGGATTTGAAGAATGTGTAAATAAATCTCATTGTTAGAATGACATGGTATAATCTAAAAGCATATTGGCTCATGTAGTCTTCAAGTGCAATCAAGTATGCAATTGCATTGTACTTCCAGCTGAGGAGTATAATACTTATCTTTGATATTCCTTTGTTATTTATGAATTAACATCGTTCCCCTCATTTACAATTTTATAAGGCTCATTACCAATTGAAAAGAATTTCCCTTGTCCCTAAAATCATTTTTACATGGTAGCAGTTAGAAATGGTTTTTCTTTTATGTGCCTCACAAATTTTCTGTTGGCTTAAAGGTTAACATTCTCAAAAAAAATTTATGTTGGCTTCTTTCGACCTTTGAAGATCAGAAGTGTTTAACATCCAAGTCTTTGTCACAGCCCCCTAAAACTAGGGGAAAAGCCTATGGTTTAGTCCTCTTATAATGCCAGTGTTGTTTGCCAAATTCAATTGCAATCCAATACTACATTGGATAATTGTCATAGTTTCTTCAAAATTCTGTTCAATACCAGGATCAGAAAGGTAGACTACTCATTATTTAGAGTATTTAAACCTAAGGTTGATTTGAGAAAGAAAACATAAACTTAAGTTTGAAAAGCAAATACTGTAGAAAATGACAAGTCTAAGAGTATCTATGAGAAAGTTTTTACTAGATGAAGAAGTACCAAATTCATGAAAGTAAGATTGCAACATATAAAGGGAAAGTGTGACTGCAGCGTATAAAGGGAAAGAGTCCCAAAGCAAGTAAGTGAGCCTGGCCTAACATTTTCTATTTCAGTCGCTTAAACATTCTCTAAGTTACGTGAAATTCAAAAAGTTAGAGAAATGAAATGTTCCAATGGATGCTTGGTTGTCCCTCCACATGTATTCCACCCCATGAGAAGAACTCCAGCCACTATAAGATCCAATCCAAGAAGTTTGACATGTCAAGAGAATTATATGCCCTTCACTCTACTTATGAAAAATATAAGATCGCATCAATGCCCACAAAAAATGATAACAAGATGAAGACATGTTCGAAATGGTTCCAAGAGAGGTCATAAAGTGAAAAGTTGAAACTTAGTTGCAGAGATGTTCTTTCATGGAAATTGCAAGTGAACTTGTACAAATTTCTGAAAACCAAAAATATTTTTAAACTTCTCAAATATAGCCAACTTTGAATATAACTATACTACAGATGCTCCCATGAGTCTCCTGAACAAAGGACTTCTTACAGGGAACGATCCCCCACTCCCATTCTCAACAACAAGGGCTCATAGTAGCTCTTCGAAAAGATCATCGTGATTTAAAACTCTAACAATAACAAAATTCTAATGCTCAGTAGCATTTCTTTTAAAAATACTCACATTTTAAGAGATTTTTAAAAATATTCACATTTTAAGAGACAGTAAAGTTTAGATCTAATAATAAATATGTAGTAGTTATAGAAAATTAGAAATATATTAAAATGGCCAATCAGGTTTATCAAAAACTGCTAACATAGTCATATCTGTCAGAACTGCATGACATACAGTTCGAATGTAGAGAAGAAAGAAGAACCTTGTACATTTGAGAGAAAGGGAACCTAAGTGTGTCCCAGGCACTCTATAATAGATTATACATGTGTGCCTCTTACATAAAAGCTTCTAGACATTCTAATATTACGTCAAACTGGACCAACACAAATACATTTAAAAGTACAAAACTCCACAATATCCTACTCGACACCTAAACAGTTACAAGAAAGCAATCAGAAGTGATAGTTACAAGAAAGAATCAAGAGTTCGCACATACCATCTGCTAGCTTAGAAGACTCATTGTTAAAAGGCATACATTTGTCTGGGGTTTTGAGTCTCCCCTCATCATTTGCTTGGTCTGGAGCCAAATTTGAATCTTCAATTGCTGGAAATATTATCAATCAAAACAAAAGCAATTTCAGGAAAGAAAGTGGGATATGCTTATATGGAGAAATCATAGAACACCGAAGGAGAGGAGATAAAAACAAAGCAGCTCATCCAAAATTTCTTAGCTCAAAATTTTATCTTTTAACTACAATTTGCCAAAAGGCAAAGAATTCAATAATTATTCATTGCACATTACTACGGGTTTTTGATAAGAAACTATTTTATGATTTAGGGATAACCAACATTTGCGCAAACAATTTCGGCATGAAAATGCATGAATAAAATCACATTACTTTTTCTATATACTTCCACTAGTCAAAGTGTAGCAGAATTATATCATTGTTAGACAGTGAAGTCTTATATAACAAAGTACACTAGGACGCCATTGTCATGCCACACTTTACGCAACAACAAAAAATTAAATTCAGTTTACAACCACAAAATAGAAGTACAAAAATTTCTCACCAATAATGCAATGTCAGTTATCAACGCCCTGCCCACCATTGAAGACACTCGATACTCACATTTCAAACCATGTATCCATATAAGAATGCATCATACAACTTTAGAACTTCTCTAATCTAGTGAGTCTAGAACTCACTTCATGATGAGGCTGAAGAATTTCACGATATATGATGTACTCAAATGTATTGGGAGAGCAAGTCATTTCAAGTGTTATTTCATTGTTCTTAACATTGTATGTTAAGCACATCTGTCTTATAATTTTATAATGCAAAATGGAATAGAATTATTTCAAACTCTGTTACATAATATCATGGCCCTGGGATGAAGTTCCTAGGTTCACCTTTTGTCAAAAGCCTTCAAGGAAAATTTTCCCTTCTGAATTTTAAAATTGGAAGTGCAATTTGGAGTCTTAAGTTTTGAAAGTATAGTGCCCTGAATTTTAAAATTGGAAGTGCAATGTGAAAAATGATCTTGGACATTGCAAATTTTTCCAGTTCAAAGGTGATTTGTCTTTCAACTGGATAGTGTTCTTGTCTATTCCACCTAAGATTGTTTCTTTCCTTTTTTCTACTTCTTGCTTCTACTGATACAAGGCATAAGTGATTTGTTCCATTTGAGGATCAGCGCTTTTTAGGATTTTTCCATTGGGTACCTAAGGAAAAGAGTACCTAAGTATTGACAACGCCCATAAGGTGAACCAATTTTGGCACAGAGAAACTTATTTCTGACCATCAAGCTTAGACGACCATATGAAGTCCTATCTCCAAGGGTAAATCCAATGAAAGATTGTCATGGGAGAAGATATGGAAATTCCAGGTGAAAGGAAGATCAAAACCAGTAAAATCGCTTATTCCCTCTCAGCTTCAGTACATAAAATTTCATCACTCTAAGTCAAGCAGTGCTTAAAACTCATTTTGATTTTTGCAACTCCTCCAAGCCAACTTGACTAGCAGGTTCCCGAGTTTTATTATAAAAAACTAGGTTTTGGCTGAGTTTATCAGTTTTCTCTATTAAACATAGCAGAATTAACACCAAAAAATATGCACTTCCCGATTTAGACTTGGTCTCACTCAAATTGGGGATCTTGGCTTGGTGGTTGGGGGTGAAAGCCACAATGTAACATCAGGAGTTCAATTCCCACTGCTTACCTACTCATTAGAGAAAAGAAAATACAAAAAAAAAAAAAGAATTGGTCTCACCCAAAGTTGAATAAACTGCCAAATTTTCTTCCAGACTCACGAAACTCGAAACCACATTCAAGTTTTTAAACGATGAATTAGAGACTTGATATCTCACAAAAGAACATTACAGGCCACTGTCACTTTTTAAGAATAACAAACAGACAGCCAATTAGGTGTAGCCCAAGGACAATATTTGACCCATTCAAACCCATGTATTCCCACCATTGACCATATTCATCTTAATGAGTATAACTACTAAAAGTTCACACCATGATGCATGAGTGACCTAGAAATTGTTGATCACCTAGCGACACACAAATGCTTGAACAAAGTCTATCAAGGAACACTGCTTTGTTTAAATTTTTATATTCAACAATAGCCTTGCTCTTTTGTTGTTGGGCTCGCACATTTATACACATAAGATTCTTGACCTTTTATATGTCATTTTATTGAAGCCATTAACACAGATCTATCTTTTCAGTGGTAGATAAAAGTGTACAGCGACAAGGACAATGCTACCTGAAAGAGAAGGGGCAGCACCTAATCACAATTAAAAACAAGAAGAAACAACAAAGAAGGCCTCTCACCTCTTTCCAAACCCTAATCCTAGACCATATCCCCTTCCTCAACCTTCCACGAGAAGTACCCTCCATCTTTAACCCCCCTAGCTCTCTTGAATACACAGATCTCCTCCCAAAGCATTAAGCCAACCAAACCTTAAATCCACAAGTTCATGCAGCCCATTCCTCTGTTTGTGCCCTATTTCTGGTATCCTCCACCATATTCATGACACTTAAGGATTCATTGTATGTCCCCACAAATAGAGGAACCTCGGCCATTGAAAGTTTGAAACTGCCTCAAGATCGATCTCAAAATCAACCAGAGCTGTTGATCTCAAGAAATCTAAATTGACTAACAACATTTAGGTCTACAGTCACGGATATCAATCAAAATAAGCTTGTTAAGGAAAAACCTTGAAATTCAGCTACGAGAAAATGATGATCAAAATTCAGATTGCAGTAGATTTTTGACGCCAGAAGAATTTCAGCAGCTTTTCCTGCAATGGCAGGGATCAATGGGCCAAGAGGGGGGTCCCAGGGTTTTGATTATGATGGGGACTGACTAGGGTTTAGGGCCATCCATGGACCAGAGGCAAGCCCTTAGGATAACTCATAGCGAGAGAGAGAGAGAGACAGAGAGACAGAGAGTTGAGAGGGAAAGTCTACAGAGCCCCTCTTCCCCCTACGCCCTAAAGAAAAAAGAAATAAAAGATTGCAACGGAGTGTAAGTGATAAAAATAAAGCACCCTTTTAAAAGCTTTACCCTTGAAGGGTTTAAAATAAAAAATCTATTCTGAATACTTTTATGTGAATTTTATGCCCTCCTTATTTTGTTCCCCACATGTGGGCAGCCTTACATTGATTTCTGTTTGTACACAAATCTCTACATAACAGAGTCAAGTATTCTTTAAAAAAAAACAGAGATTGTGCGCCACTAAACAACACAGGTGTAGTACATGAATACAAGCATCTTAATCCCAGGCTATCCACAATATGTAGCTCATTCAAAACACTCCCAAAGTATACAGAACAGCTCAAAATATTTCAGGTCGAAAACACTTACTCATAATATTAGTTTCTGAAAAAATTGGCATGTGAGGACCAAGTCCTTCAGGATCTTTGAAGCCCTTAAAAAATCTGGTCAATGTACGTGTAACTTCCCCAAATTGAGAGTAACACTGAAGAAGCATCAGTAGGTAAGTGGGAAAGCTTCACACACAAGAAAAGCAATAAACCAAGAAACAACCTTGATATGAGGACGAAGCCACATTGACATTTGAGATTGATATCTCGGTTGAGCAAACCTGCACAAAAATTAGGAAAGAAAGTAAATACACATGCCAAAAGATTGCAGAGTCATAATATCAGCTACAAACCAATTGTGATACTCATAATGGAACAAACAAAAACCAAATATTCCAACAACAGGAAATATTTATTTCAATTAAAAAAATTAAAGAATTCTTGTGCAGATTCCACGTAGCTAAAATAAGAATTCAGCTAAACAAAGATTCATCGATTAATTTAGAAGCATTTCCCCAAAAACCTTCGCCTTGTGCACAAGAATCTGCCACCACAAAGAGGGGTGCATAACAATGACGTGGGTCACACATCTATGTTATTGGCACACACTTGCCACATGGAAAGGTAACCCGCAAGGAATGGCTATTCCACAGAGGATAAGCTGATTGATTTTGAAGAAGTCTGGAAGTGGGAACCTAAGATTTACGAGGACACAATATCTCATCCAATACAAATATTCCCAGGTACCCCAACTACCAAACAATGATATTGTTAGAGGTTGAATCTAAAATAAAAGTTTGCAAGTAAACCTTTCATCACAGAAAATAATCGCTCCATAATCATTACGATGTCGTATTACACGCCCAACAGCCTGATTTACTGCTCGAACTGCCTCCTGGACATACCACTCTTCCCCAGTCAAAGCCTACATGGTTCACAAAAACGTACGCAGTATTAACTAGTTCTTTTTCAATGTACAGTATTATAACAGATGGATATATTAATACATATAACGTTCAGTATGTCAGCGATGAGACGAGATTTGAACAAAATACCTTGACTTTCTTGTCCTGTGAACAAGCAATCTCATCCAAGTACTCACGTTTCAAACGTACCTGTGTTAAAATTAGCAAAAACATACTTTCAACAATCTTTAGTGATTTTCTAGGGAAAGCCAAGAATCAAACAACCAGATATTGGAAAGATAACAATGCATTTTAGGTCAATAAGAAAAGAACAATGACTTGGACCTTTGGATGAGTCAACATAGCGTAAGGTATACCGGTAACTACAACAGCTCTCCCAGCATGGTCAGCAAAATCCAAACCCTCGCTCACCTGATGAGTACCAAATATCATATGGCAATATTCAATAACATGTTTGAGGTAGACTAGATAACTTTATCAATAAAAAAAAACAATGTAAACCTAAAAAGATCAATGAAATAATACCACTATAATTGGGTAAAAGGTATACAACGATTAGAAAGCACACAAGCATGAACATGCACTCCAGAAGATAGATAAGAACTTAGACAAACTATGTGGCAAAGTGCGTGCAGCAAACGGATGAAACGAAGTTCATGATTTGCAATTTATGTATTCATTGGGAGATGAGGTGCATGTAATATTAGATATGAACAATGAAAATAAATTATCTACATGTTAAGAAATACTTTCACTAGATATAAAAACAATTACACCAGTAGCATGATGGCTCAATTTCAGCTATGGTGTCCTAAGTGGTGCAACTAGTGCCTCTTCTAAAGTATTATGTTGCACCTATCAATCAAATAATAAGGTAGCCACAACATATAAAAAATAAATAGATAATGTCAGTAGATCAAGATGAAAATCAAGGATAAAGCCAACCTTGCCACGACAAACAGCGAAAAAAACAACACCAGAAGTAGAGGTGTCATTTAATTTTGCCCTAAAATCCTGCAAACGCAATGCCATGTCAACCCAATCAATGGCAATGAGGACAAGAAAGCCAAAACAGAAACATGAGCATTACAAGTAAAATTACTGACTTCAATTGCTTGTGGAAAAAGCACAGATTGCCGGGGCTCTATAACTGGCTGCTTAAGTTTGCAAATTCTTTCCCAGATTGAACTCGAATTTGCAGAGCTTTCGTTACCCTAAAAACATACTCGCAAATTAGGGGACAAAAAAAAGACTTAGAAATTAGAAAATTTTGATAAGACAACAATCTCGGCAATGACGTACCATACTCTGCCAGTATTCAATGCACTTTTCCATGAAGTAATAGGATGGAAAGAAAATAAGTAGTCCATCGGGAACAATTCGAGCAAAATTCACTGCAACAAGATAATCTAGATCAGACATGGGATTTTCTGCAATAGGCTTCCACAAAACTCATAATGAAAACGAACTTCTTAAACACTTACCAATAGCAGAGCCAAGTTCTTGCTTGTACTTGACAGTGTCACGAAATCGATAGGAAGAATTGAAAGAGTGACCAGATGGACTTGAAGCCACAACACCAACCCAGACTTGATTGGGTTGTATAACATGAGGATTCTCCAGCCTAACTTTAAAATCTCTGCAAATATAGACATGAAAAATATTTTAAGTAACAAAAATCACAGTCCAATCTTGTATGCACCATTATAGTGGTACCACTTACAACTTCATTTCAGAAGCAAACGAGTCCAAGGGGGATAATGTTCCAGAAGTCACAATGATGGAGCGTAAACCCAATTTCTCAAATTCTTGCATCGCAATTCCAGGGTTGAAACACCACCAGCTCAGTGTTCTACAGCCCTTAGCTGCAAATATGGAAACAGCAATTCTTCAGGCGACTACGAGCAAAATGGGGGTTTTAGACTTTGGGAAAATAAAAATTCAATGATAGCGTTTGAAAACTTTAAATAAACCTAATTCAAATTGTGTAATACTGAAATAGGTAGGAGATGTCCAAGGTTGTTTATACACACTCAACCCTGGTTTCCACAAAATTGCAGATGCAGAAGAAGAGATGTGACCACAAACTATCATATGGATGTCTGTGGCATGTGCAACATAGTGGTGTCAATATAGGCATGAACAGTACCCATTAGTATGAAGGCCAAAATAGCCCATAACCATCGGGGAGGACAATGAATGGTGTGATGGCTAAGATTAGATAGGCATGCTGGAAAGTACACAACACAGTGTTATTGCAATGAACCAAAATCATGTCCACCACTACAAAAGCAGCCAGATCATACAGCTGGTCATTCAGATATTTGGCAACTAGAAAAAGTGAACCCAGACATCCAAATGTCTGGGACAAGAGATTCATTTTCTTATCCAAGCATTCAATATCATTGCATTCTAAACAAGAAACAAAACTGTGCCACAATCAAATTTATAGATTTCAGTGAAATTGCCCCATAATACCTTTAAATGAAGCAGCATCATTTATTTGGGGCTCATGTACATGAACCTTCATTCAAAACCAACAAAAAGATTTCAATCAGTATGAAGTCATCTTGTTGATGACAAATGTTAAGGATACGTGTGGGTATTAAAGCTGAAGCCATCATGGTCAAAGCCATTTCCCAAGTACCTCAAGGAATGAAGAATCAGAAATATAAGATTCAGTCAATTGTGAAGAATAAGAATATAAGCACCTCAACCATTTATGCATTAGGAAGCTGCATACTTACGAGGTAGGAAGCTGCATGAGAATTGTCACCCTTTCTGAAGATAAGCTCAAAGATATCCCTCAGGTTTTCTAGCTTGATCGTACCCTTTCCCTTTGATTGTAGTGTATCAGAAGGCAAATCTAGTAGAATGCAGAAGTTCAAGTGGACAGTTAGATCTTACACAGCCATCTCAAGTTCTCCAATCTCAGCAATATAATGACATGAAAATCAACTAAATGTATTCATTAAGGGAAACACATGTTTATGTAAAGCAAACGAAACCTGAAGGAAGTGCAGATCCAAGCATATCATCCTGAAGAAGTAGTATAGCATGATCAATAGTATTAATCAGCGTCCCGACTGTTGATTGTGTGATGTTAAGATCAGCAAAAAGTTCAAAAATATAAGGTCCAGGTCGAGTGAATCCCGATTCAATTGAATGGATCGGCTCTTGGGCTATCCGTTCCTCTAGCTTCTGTAGAAGACCTACAAAAATCAGGCCCATAGTCAAAATGACACAAAAATGCCTTCAAAAATCCGATGAAATTTGTGCTCAATCATGTTTGAGGCACAAGCACAGACTTTATTTCATGCAGTCCAACTTAAAACCGTAAGGACTTTTTCCTTTTCTTGATTGATGACCAGAGGTATGATCCTATGAACTAAGATGCAAGTAGTAGAGTTCCAAACCACAAGGATACAAGCATCACCTCTTAAGCATTGATCATCTAGTTGTTAACTAGACCTGAAAAATGCTTTCTAAGGCAATAACTTCCAATTTTGTCTCTCACAGTAAGTCACGTCCTTGGCTTTCACTTTCCACCAGCATGCTTACCTAATGATGAATTGTTCTTTCATGATTTTATTTTAAACAAAATTAATTTCAAACCTACAACCTTGGGTGAAAGGATTCATTATCATCTTGGGGGCGGCTACATGGAATCATGTTCCTCCACTCTTCTCTATCAAGGGCCATATGCTTTAAGACCAAAAAGATTGAGCTTCTAATGATTAGGCTACAAATCCTGAGATGCTATATGTTTATTTTGTTTCCAGCAACAGAATACTATTTGTTTCTGCTTTGCCAATCTGAATCTAATAACTAAAAAAAACCGTCAAGTCAACAGTTTCTCTTTGACATAAATCTTAAAGAATATGCTCCAAAGGAACATGTTAACAGTAAAATGAACATCAGATAACTGTCGACCGTCACTAGATCAGAATCTGCTCCAGACTTCACTTTAGGACCCCAAACAAGGAAAAAGCACTCTACATTACTACTCGTAAATTGTGAAAAAACCTCTAAATCTTGCATCTTAATAGAAATGACAGTATGACACTTCAAAGGCTTAAACACAAATATAAGAGGTCAAAATTCAGATATTTCCTTTAGACTTAGACTACATGATTATGTACACATGTATATGCAACTAAGACAAAGACAACTACAATTGCATAATTACTTTGACATTTTACTGTCCAAATAAAGATCATTTGTATTGAACATTTCAAAAAGAAATAAGTATTTGTCAATACTTTCCAAGCTTTAAAAGCCACATACAAATTCTCAGCTTGAGGGGGAGGGCTAGGAATAATTCCAAATGGCACTGTTTCTATAGCAAGTATCGAGATATATTAGTGTATGTATGGTAGACTAATCACATGAAACTTTAGGGTAATTCATTACTTATCCTCCCTGACAAACTAGACACTTCAGGGGATAACAACAGGAATATTGCAAGGGTGATCATCATCATCATCAAAGCCTTTTACCAACTATTTGGGGTCGGCTATACAAATCCTGGTCCGCCATTCTTGTCTATCAAACACAGGAATATTGCAAGGGTAAACACTAAAATTATTTTTAGAATGATAATTCTGAATTTTGCATGTTAGAGTGCTAATTATATAAAACTGCATGACTGCAGCCTTAGAGGCGAGAATATCAATGCATCTTGAGTTGGGAACGAAGTAACAATACTTTTAATCAGATTCAACTATGCAAATCACTCGAGGAATGCTCATGGGGGAGGACGTGCCATCCCTAAATAAATTCTTGCTTCTAAGATTGGAAAGAAAAAGGAAACACCATAGCTGAGATTAACTTCTATGTACATTGCAAATAAAGAAGCATTCCTGAAAGAGAAATTCAGCAACTCACCTACCCCTTAGGATTGCATAGTTCTCAGGATCCAGTGATTTATCCTCTACCATTTCTGCCGTCTTTCTTGCAACAGAAATCCCAACACACTTTTTCACTTCTGAAATACAAGCAGTCAGGTGGCTTATGGGCAAGTCAAATGAGGCAGCATCAGCGCATATGCTTTCCTGCATTATCATAAATTAATACATGTGAAAAGTGGCAACACAATGGGATAGTTTGATGACACTCAAATCAGTCCAATGAGAAGGATGTAATGTAATAATTAACGAACTCAAAAGAATAATGCAGTATTGCTCATTGAGATTAACGAAACCCAGCACAATTACCAAGTTGTGAGCTTCATCAAAAATGAGCACAGTATTCTCCCAACAAATACCACTAAGAGAACGACGGTTCCCATGGTCAATAAGATAATTGTAAGGGGCAAACAGTATATGAGCTGCCTTGTGAAGTTCTTTAGATAAGTAATAAGGGCACCTGGACAGCAGGGGTATATCAGTAATTTAGAGGAGAAAGCAACCTTTCAAGGTCTGCAGAATAAAATATTTGTGAAAAATTACTATTATAATTAGAGGAAATTCCAAGATGAATATTTATCATGAGAACTTACGGTCCTTCTGATCGCCCTATATTGACCATGTCTTCTATGTCCAAAGGCTCACACCCAAGCTTAGGATTATCCTTTATATAGTCTACATTAACAAGAATAATAAGATAATCACCATATGCCCTCTAATAACAAATAGATCTAGAGATTGCATGGAAAGATTATCAGAAATGCATGAAAACATCCATATATTGGTTTCCAAATTCTAAGGAACAGCACCAACACAAACATAAGCCTAACCACTCATAAAATAAAATGAGGATTACATAAGTAGAGAAATTTAAATTTCTAAAACAAAATTACGCCATATAACCACCTCCACTAAAACAAAGAACAAAAAAGGACCTCAGCAATATATGAAATTACATATTATGAAGCTATTTCTAGATAAGATCTCATAAAGCAAGCATTAGTCAACATGCACATGCTTCACACAACAACTGGAAAAATTATTCCACATATATCAAGCATTTAAACCAAAACAAGCAAGAAGATTGAAAAGGGAGAGATTGGGCCTTTTCAATAATTACCAAAACAAAAGAAAAATAAACAAAGGAGAGGTCCTAACTTGACCCCCATATCCAAAAAGCATGTTAACCAATAAATGACAATTGCAGCTAGGGGACAATTATATCAAGGATATAATTCACATGCAATTCAAAGCCAAGGTTGAGAGTATCAAGGAATAAAGCAAATACAAACTAAATCCTTTCAAAATCCTGGCACAATGATGAATATGCAAATCTCTATGATACATTGAACCTAAATGTCAGCACATGTTTCAATGGTAAATAAAGCAAACAGCATAAAGCAAAAATACCAGAGACACGCATCTGATGGAAGCAAGAGCGTTTTTTGCAACGTGATTGGCAAGCACCGTTCTGTAATTTCCCACGAAGCATACTCACTTCATCATGAATGCACATTTGCTCACGAGAACCTAACACTGCCATCCTGGGCCTGAAAGTTTGCAGCAATGTGCACAGCTAAGTCACCACATGTTTAAACAACTATAATGCACATTAACAAGTTTTCCGGTTCCCAAAAACCAGTAAAGAAGAGCCATAAAATGAAAATGGAATTGGATATAAGTCGTGGGAAGGGTCAAGGCGCAACAGGGGAGTAAGG